GTCAAATGCCTCATCGTTTAAACAATTCAAGCAACGTGTCTCTGTCTTTGTCTGTCACGGATATATAATATGCATTGCGGATATACATCTAACTCTTTAGCTAAACTCTTTAGCATATGCATTATCTTTATTAGAAAGTAAGGCGAGGCAATGATGAATGCATATAATAAATAAGGGTTTTAGTTCTCTGCAGCATATCCTCTCTTTTCAAGCTGTCGAACATCCGCTGAGATGTATAATTAATAAAGGCCGCCGAAGGAAAGAAGAGGCTATAAAAGAATTAAGCACATTTAAACATGTAGATATACACCTGAAGATATCCCTAATTAATAAAAAGAATATCTATTAATATGCATGCAGAGTTTGTATAACCCCTGGTTCAGAGCTCAGACAGCAGATGCTGCATTCTAATGTCAATACACCCCATGATAGGCAGGGAAGAAGAAATAAACAAAACTAAAAATTGTTAAGCTCGCCTATATTATTATCTGTACTTACTCATCTAATTACCCTTTCTATGACCCTACGTAGCTGAGAAGAAATGAAACAGACTTGAAAATAACTCTGAGACTAAACCTATCGATAGACTGACAAAGAGATGCATGATAGTCCCGCAAAAGTAAATATAATAAAGACAGAGAGCTGACAACAATCGGAGGAGGCTGCACTCAGAAAGCTATAAAGAACCACCTAGGGGAGCATTTCTTTTGCTGCAAATATACTCTCTTTACTCAACATTGCCGGTACATTTGCAGGCGCACGAAGACTGATAAGAATAAAGAAGATCAAACTGAAAGCATCAATTATATGTATATATATGTATATATATGTACATATATATATATATATATTATATAGACATATATATATATATAGACATATATATATAGACATATATATATAGACATATATATACATATATATATATATAGACATATATATATATATATATAGACATATATATATATATATATACATATATATATATATATGTACATATATACATATATACAGATATATATGTATATATATACATATATATATATAGACGTATATATATATATATAGACATATATATATATATATATTCAACGAAATGGATCAATATACACCGTTTCGCGGAGTGTGTTTATGAAGAACAGAGCACTCTGTTAATCTGCACTCAAAGACTTGTATTTAAACTGTAACATCGTTGTGTAGCACTTCGAGGCTGTGCATTAGAAGGCAGCCCCGATATCTACTTGCAGCTTTCAACTTCTATGAACAGCTTTTAGTTGCTCAGAAGCGTATAAAAAAAGCACAATAACAACAGAGGGAGGATATAGAAGAAGGTGATTGGCTGTAAATTGCAGTGCTGATAATTTCAGGCGATTAGCAGATTGATTATGCTTCAGAAGAAGAAAAAAGAAGCTAGATGAATTACAATTAATACTTCTCATATAGACTATGATACTTCTACTCGTCATTATGTATGCATATTGATGATTGCCTAGGGCATGCAGATTATATTAAAAATATTATTACTAGAGCAGCATAAATGGATGCTGCATGTTTTCAGGTTATATGCGGCAGCTTACATTACTCAGACTCTTCTTATGATAATGCAGCAATAACACTGCGTTAAGAAGCTGAAGGCAACCGGGATCTTGAACATACACCTAGCGACGCCGAGAGGCTACATAAAGAGAAGGTATTACTTTAAAGGGCATGGGTATTGAAAGGCGGGTGAATTTCTGAGATTGATTGTGCGAAGCAAATACCTCCTGGTCTGTCTACAATTTTATGTGCCTCTCCTTGCATGCATGCCGGCCAAGGAGATATTAACTAAGTGTTGAACAATTCTCTATAGTGTCAGTGAGTTATTTGTAGATGCAACCAAAGATGTTTTGGGTATATTTCCGTCTGGAGCTACCGTATAGCATCAGTTGCAGCAACATACAGTGCAGCTCAGAACAGCTTGGCTGCACTCTGCACCAGTCCAGGCCTTTGTGCTGCTTTGTCTTGGATTCACGGAGACTCTATGAAGTTGGCCTGCCTTTGTGGTATTTATTTTTTAAAGGTATATTTGCTCTACTGCTGCTCACGGCGGCCGGTCCTCTGCTAAGACGCAAGGGTCTCGTTATGCTTGTTATATTGAACTTGAATTGCTAACACATCATCTGCTGCTACAAGTGTACAGACAGCATATATGAGTCTTTAGGAGCTGCTGGCGTAGCAGCTCGTAGCTTTTCTTTCTGTATTCCGCTACTTTACTACAGACTCTACAGAACCTCACATGTGCTGTTGTGTACACGCACTAGACACAGGTCGCAGAAAGTTTATAAGGGAAATTTCTTGATTATCCGGAGTAAATTTCTTGTATATCTTTTATGAAGGGGTTATCATACAGGAAGTGATTTGGTTCTATCAGGTAGCTGTGCAACAGGCGCAGTGCAACTCTACGCTGTACGTACACACACACAACCACAGCAGAACATGCTGAGCTGCATATCTTGCAAAGATAGACGCCTTTTCTTCCCATTTTTCTCGCAAAAATACATTCTCTATGGGTTTATTTATTAATTTAGGAACAGTTTATGCCATCTTACTTAAATTGAACCGGAGAAGAGCAGAATATGTACAGACTTCCCTCCTCGGTTTCGTAGGTTTCCAGGTTGCGTCAACGCGCGATCTGCAGTTTCGGAGTTGGAAAATAGGTTTTTCTTTTGAATAAATAAAATTGTTTCAATCCAATTTAACTAATGCAACGAAGAAGCTATCTAGGTAAGCTTCTTTTATGTGAAGATCAGGCATGTCTAGGACCCGGCGGGGCCTGTATCCATACACCCTGACCCTGTTTTGAATCGGGGAGGGAGGCGGCTGGCTACCCACCATCTGTAGCCTCTTGGGTTGTCGTTGGCGTTTTGAGTTCTTGAACTCGGTTGTTTTGTTGTTGTTTATGGTTGCTGGTGTATTGAATCTTCAGGAGAAGTGTCTAGGAATTTGTAAACGAACGATAGGGGCCTTTTTCTTAGGCCCCTCCCTCAGCACCATCATGCACTCCTCTAGGGGTAATGGTGTTGCAGCAACTCGCAGCAACCGAAGAAAACACAAGCTCTGGCTGCGACTCATCCTGACCTGAATATCGCTTGCTTTATCTGTCTTCGCAGCGGTAGACGTACGTAGATGCTTGTTTCGGTGTTATGGCTTTTGGTATGTCGGCCTATAGTATAGCAACTTGTGAGTAGAGAGGGCCCAGACGGAGCAGTTCCTGAAAGGAAACTGATTAGATCGCCATTTTTATTTCTTTTTAAGGTTTTTATTCATCCAGACACCCGAAAACATGTTTTACGTGGCCGAACGCTTCTTCTCCGTTATTTGGCTGCTCAATGACGACAACCCAGACATGTCTATGCTGGATCTTATCTGTAACAGGGTTCCATCTAAGCAACGACAGCACTCCTCAGCTCTGAGGAAGCAGCAGCAGCAGCAGCAGCAGCAGCAAACGCAGCAGCAGGAACAAGGTGAAGGAGACGAGGAAGATGATGCCTCTGAGAGTAGGGACTCAGCAGGCAGCAGCGCCAGCAGCCCCAAGTACACCACCGCTAGCAGCATCAGCAGCTATACCAGCAGCAGCGGATCTGCAAGCGTTTCTTTGTCTCCAAAGAGATATGACAGCTTAGAGTCTCCGCGAGCTGCTGCTATTCGCATGCAAGTGCAGCAGCACCGGGAACAGCTGGTTGCTCGCCCTCCTCCAGACCCAGGTCTGATGCCCCTGATTGATTTGCCCCCACCTGCGATGACTAGCTGCAACAGCTTAGCAGCAGCAGCTGCTGCTGCTGCTGCAGCTGATGCCGCAGCCCGTGCTGCAGCCCTTAGGCACTGCCGCTCGGCAGAGGGGCCCCTACTGGCTTCAGGAGGACCTTCTTTTCTCTCTTTTTCTCCTTGTGGATCAGGGGTTAGGGTCAAGAGTTATGTAGATACACCTGGACTGAATGCAGCAGGCAAAAGGCCGAGTGCAGCAGCTTCTGCTGCTTCAGCAGCTTTGGGCTTTGCTTACTTTGAAGAGATCGGCGGCTTTAAAGGCGCCTCCTCGAAGCTCCGCGCCCCGCCGCAGCAGCAGCAACAGCAGCAGCAGCAACAGCAGCAGCAGCAGCAGCGCCAGACGCCCCAAGGTCCTGGTTTCGCTGCGCAAAGGCGGAGGGTAAAGAGACACACCCAGCCGCCTATCCACGCCAGCATGCAACGGGATCAGAAGCTGCAGCAGCAGGCCCTTGTAAACATGCTGCCGCGAGATGGTTTGCAGCAGCAGCAGCAGCGACAGCAGCAACAGCAGCAAGTAGATTCTGCTTCTCACGGGATTCGCTGCATGTCCCAAGGAAGCCTCGGACACGCTGCTGAGCTTCCACGACAGCAGTGGCAGCTGCAGCTGCAGGGGCAGTTGGCTCCTAGACAGCAGCAACAGCAGCAGCTGCAGCAGGGGGAGCAGCCTCAACAGCAACAGCAACAGCAGCAGCAGCAGCGACTGAAGTCGCTTGATACACTGCATCGCAAAAACTCGTTTCCATTTAGCAGATCTGCGTCTTTATGTGACCCTTCGTTTCGTACAGCAGCAACTGCAACAGCAACAGCAGCAGCAGCAACAGCAGCAGCAGCAGCAGCACCAGCATGCCGACATGTTGCTGCTACACGCAGCTGCTCGAGATTAGATGGTGACCGAGGGCTGCTGCGGTGGAGCCGTAGCTTCTGTTCTCCTCAGCGTGCAAGCTGCTGCCGTCATGCAGGCAGCTGCTGCAGCAGCTGTTTGACATACAGCAGCAGCAGCAGCAACAGCAACAGCAACAAAGCGCTGAGCTTCCCACGAAGCAGCAGCCCTGGTGTATATGGTCGCCACCGGCCTAGTGCTTATATGCAGCGCCGCAGGTACTCAACAGTTTGCTGGCCTGTAGACAGGGCAGCAGCAGCAGCAGCAGCAGCAGCAAGCACTGCTGCTGCGGTGGGGGGACAGCCGCTCCCTCCGGGCTGCTGCCGTGCCGCTGCAGCCTCCTGGTGGAGGCAGCAGCACGAGGAAGCAGCAGCAGCTGCAGCAGCAGCAGCCACCAAGGCTGCTGCGAGGGCAGCCTCAGACGTACTGAGTCTGTACCGCTCTGCGGGTGCGAGCAGCAGCGCAGCAGCAGCAGCAACAGCTGCAGCAACAGCAGCAGCATCCGCAGTAGCAGAAGCAACTGAAAAGGCTCCTACTTCGTCGGGCGCAGCACCAGGGCTTGCCTTGCCTTATGAGCACTACCTCCCTTACAGCCGGTCTTCCTCTCTGCATGCACTGCAGCAGCAGCAGCAACAGCAGCAGCAGCAGCAGCAGCGGCAGCGTGCCTTTTCGAACCGGCATTTTGAGGAGAAGGCAGGATGGAAGCCCTTTTCAAGTCCTACTCTGTCTCCTTGTGCTGCTCGGGGTAGATCCTTAACAGCAGCAAAAGTTAGCAGCAGGGTTTCTGCTGTTGGTGGGTGCCCAGCTAGCTGCAGCAGCCTCCGGCGCTGCTGCTGCTGCAGCACCAGCGGCAGCAGCAGCAGCAGCAGCAGGAGCAGGAACGCAGGTGCCCCGAGCATTGCAGACATTTGCAGGGGAAGCCCCTTGCTACACCATTACCGGTAGCCAGCCCCAAGGGATTTATCGCTGCATGCATGCAGTAGCACTTTTTGTAGATTATAAATAATTATTATTTATTTAATAATTGCTTCATCTTCTTTCTCTTCTTTTTCTCTTTTCTTTTGGTAGCTGCGGTTTGTCACCTTAAGAGGGTGTCGCTGCTTCTGCAGCACCTCATGTAGTTCTTTCCTAGCTAGCTAGCTAGCCAGGCTGCCTGCCCGCTACCTTGCTAGCTAGCTAGCTAGCTAGCTGTCTAGCTGTCTATCGATATATCTATATATCTATCTATCTAGCTAGATAGATAGCTAGCTAGCTAGCTAGCTAGCTAGCCTCTCTCTCAATGAGTATTTTGCTAGGCCTGGCACTTCGCCGTAATGCAGGTGCGAGTCTGCCGTCTGGTCTTCGCTTCTTCTTAACTCATTTTTCTCAAGAAGCCCCCGCAAACCCTTCCCAGTTGGGTGCATGCATGCATGCATGCATGCATCGATGCATGCATAGATACATGCATGTGTGCATGTATCTATATATATGCATGCATGCGTGCATGTATCTATATATATGCATGCATGCGTGCATGTATCTATATATACATGCATGCATGCATATGTGTATGGACGTAGATATGCATGCATGCATATGTGTATGTATGTATATATGCATGCATGCATGCATATGTGTATGGACGTATATATGCATGCATGCATGCATGCATCTTATGCATGCATAGGGAAATGCATGCATGCATGCATGCATGCGGGACCACCGGGTTTAAAGGTTTCAAAGCTCGGGGCTTTATCGTGTGCTGCCTCTTTTTACTAGGCATCTGCAATTGTTTTTAGGTGTCGCTTTACTATGACGGCTGTCTTGTGCTGCTCTCTGTTTGAGGTGTATATACACCGCAGAGGCGACACCGATCGCAGCAGCAGGTTGTTGGGTTTATTGCTGCTGCTGTTGCTGCTGTCTTTCTTTCATTTTCTCTCTGTCTTTGTTCTGTACGCGCATTCTGCTGTACAGACGAAGGCCAGGGGGTTTCTTGCTAATTACCCCTTGAGGACAACAAATAAAACAAACTCTTTGAAGGCTTTGTGCTTTAATTGCACTTGTTTCCTTCTGCTCCGCCTCTCTCCTCTCTTCAAAGACTCACGCACCTATATAATGAACGTAGATATATATATATATATATATATATATATATATATATATAATTAATGCGTATATTTATTTGTTAAAATGCACTAACAGCTGTAATATATATATAATATATATATATATATATATATCTTAGGCTGTAAGATACATGTACGTATATATATATATATATATATAGATGGATGCTAGATGAAGATATACTGCTAGAAAGGTAGATAGTGCACAGGCCTGCACTGCTATTTGCTTCATGTGTAGGTGTATGTGTATGTGCATACATATATATACATATAAGTATTATATATATATATATATATATATATATATGGATGCATATAAACCTTATACATGAATATAATATATATATATATATGTATATGTATATATATATATATATATAT